TTTTTTTTTTTTTTTTTTTTTTTTTTTTAATGCATTTGCCTGTTGCAGGGTCTCGCTGCACAGCTTGGCCTCACAGTGATCCTCCTGCTTTCGTCCTCCCCAGCGCTGGGATTACAGGCATGTGCCACTATGCCTGGACTCTGGCCAGCTCAGCACGCCCTGGGGGCAGCACTGGGGCGGCCCTGGGGCGGCATGTGGTGTGGGGATCAAGCCACAGTCCCTGCGCTTGCCTCGGCAGGTGCTTTAGTCCACTGAGCTATCTCACTGGTCCCTTCACTACCTTTTGATATTTTAAATGCTTTCTGTTCATTTTATTGCTAGTTAAATTTGCTGTGATGTGTTGAACATTCTTTCCTCTTCCTCCCTTCTTTCCTTCCTGCCACCTTCCCTGCCTTTCTCTCTCTCCCTCCCTTCTTTTTTTCTTTCTCGCCTCCTCCCTTTTCCTTCCTCCTTCCTTTCTTCTCTCTCCCCTTTTCCCGCTGTCTCAGGATTGAACCCAAGGCCTTCTGCATACCAAGGAAATTTCTTTTTCTTAATTCTGAAATATGACAGATTTCTGAATTTGTCTCGCAGGCTGCCAGCCACTGTCAGTTTGGAGACAGCCTTTTACCTGTTGTTCTCTACACTCTAGTTCCTCTTTTCCACATCTCCATCTCCTTGTGCACGTTCGTACATGCATCATCACCCCTCAAACTGCCTCCCTGCTGCACATTTTAGGGGGTTCAATATAAATAATGTATTTTATTGCATTCATCCTGCTCTAGAGCTGCCCTTGCATGTTTCCTCTATTCCCTTCTTTTCTAGTAAGAGCCTCCTTTCCACGTTTAAAAAAAATTATTATTTATTGGATACAGGGTCTCATTATGCGGTTCAGACATGCAGTGACCCTCCTGTCTCAGCCTCCCCAGCACTGGGATTACAGGCGTGTGCCACCATGCCGGGTTTCAGTGCTGGCACAGCATTCCCAGGATTCCAGGGCCAGCAAGGCATGCAGTACTGGGGATCGAACTCAGGTCTTAGTGCTTGCCAGGCAGACGCTTAAACTGCTGAGCTATCTCCCTACCCCCCTTCTACTTTTTTGTGATCTGCTTTAGATTGCACAAATGAGAGACAAATATGACATTTTCCTTTTTGAGCCTGGCTTATTTCACTCAACATGACAATCTCTAGATCCACTCATCCATGTGCAGATGACCATTTTGTTCTTTTCTAAAAGGGGCCTGCGCAGCATTTCACTGCGTGTGCAGCTACGCTAGCACATTTGCTTTATCCAGTCCTGTGTGGATGGGACCTAGGCTGGTTCCCTACCTTGACCACCGTATATTCCTGTGGTGTGCTGCCTTTGGTTCCTCTACACAGAGACCAGGCAGTGGGCCAGCTGGATGAAACGCTGCTTCTAGCTTTGGTGCTCTGAGGGCCTTTGGCCCTGAAGTCCATAGCAGTCGTACTACTTCACACGCCCACCAGCAGTGTAAAAAGGCTCTCCTCACCCTGCTCCCACAGCCTTGCAAACAGTATTTTTTATTTTTTGGTACTGGGGATCAAACTCAGAACCCTGCTCTTGCCAGGAAGGTACTTAACCCGCTGAGTATTTCTTTGTGCTCCTGATGGTAGCCTTTCTGAGTAGGGTGACATGAAAATCTCAGTTTAGTTTTGATTTGCATTTTCCAAAATGACTAAAAATGTTGAACATTTTCAAATGTACTTATTGACCATTTGTACTGCTTTTGAGAAGTGTCTATTCTATATTTTTATCCATTTACTGATTGGGCTATTTGATTTTTTGGTGTTTCTTGTATTTTTTATATACTCTAAATGTCAGTGCTCAGTTGGGAGAGTGGCTGACAAAGCATTTCTCCCCTAAGCAGGCTCTCTTCATTCTCTTGGCTGTTCTCCTTGCTGCACAGAATCTTTTTATTTGACACAATCCTATTTGTCAATTCTTATTATTCCTGTGTTATTGGAGTTCTATTTAAGAAGTCTTTTTAATCTAACTAAAGAAGTCAAAGATCTTTTAAAGGAAAATTACAGTACCCTTAAAAAAGAGATTGTAGAGGATTTCAGAAAATGGAATGATATCCCATGCTCCTGGATAGAAGGAACCAACATTGTGAAGATGGCCATACTCCCAAAATTGCTGTACAGATTTAATGCAATCCCTATCAGACTACCACCACCATACCTCACAGAGGTTGAAAAATCATTCCTAAAATTCATCTGGAACCAGAAAAGACCTAGAATAGCAAAGGCAATCCTGGGCAATAAAGACAAGGCAGGAGGCATTACAATTCCTGACTTGAAATTATACTACAAGGCTACTGTGATCAAATCATCATGGT